GTTGTAGTTATTGTTTCTGCTGTTGCTGCTGCTTCTATTGTTTTTGCTGCTGTTGGCGTTGCTTGTGCTGCTGCTGTTGCTGCTGCTGCTGCTGCAGATCTTGTCCTATAGTGAATGCTAATGCTGAGATCCCGCTGCCTGTGTTCTGTTGCTGCCTGCTGCTGCTGCTGCTGCTGCTGTTGACTGCTTCTATTGCTGCTGCAGTTGCTGCTACTGTTGCTGCCTGCTGCTGCATTGTCCGGCTGTAGCAGTAGTTTGCTGCTGCTGCTACTTGCTGCTGCTAGTTGCTATTCCCTTAGCTGCTAGATCTTGCTGCTGCAGCTGCTGCTAGTGGTTCTGCTGCGGGCAGTTGTGTCTGCTGCTTTGCTTGCAGCAGCAGCAGCAGCAGCAGCAGGAGCAGCTCCTGCTGCTGCCGTTACTGCTGTAATTGGCCGCTGCTGCAGCAGCAAGAGTTGCAGCTTCTGTTGGTGGTCCGTTGCTGCTTGACGGTTCCACTGGTGCTGCTGCAGTTGCAGCAGCAGCAGCAGCAGATGTAGTTACTGCAGCAGCAGCATATGCACTTGCTACAGTAGCGGCACTAGTTGCAGCTGCTACAGGTGCAGCTGCAGCAGCAGCAGCAATTGCTGCTGTGTATGTGTGTCCCGCTTCCCTCCTGCTGCTGCCAGTGTTGCTTAAGCTACTGTAGTTGCTGCAGTTGCTGCAGTTGCTGCAGTTGCTGCAGTTGCTGCAGTTGCTGCAGAAACAGCAGCAGCAATCAATAGAGCAGCAGCAGCAGCAGCAGCACACGTAACTGTAGTAGCAGCATTTACAGCGGCAGATGGGCGAGTTATAGGCATGAGAGCAGCAGCAGCAACAGCAGCAGCAGCAACAGCAGCAACAGCAACTGCAGCAACAGCAGGGGCAAGATCAGCAACAGCAGCAGCAAGAGCAGCAGCAGCAGCAACACCACGGCATTGAACTACAGCAATAGCTGAAGGCGTAGCAGCAGATGTAAACGGACTTCAAGTTAGCTGGCTACACCTGCTGCTGCTGCTGGTGCTGCTGCTGCTGCACGGGCTGCTGCTGCTGCTGTTCCTGCTGCTGCTGCTGCTTGGGCTGATGCTGCTGCTGCTGCTGTAGCTTATGTTGCTGCCGTTGTGGCTTGCGCTACTACCGTTGCGGCTTGTGCTGCTGTTGCTGCAGCTTGGGCTGCTGCAGCATCGAGCCTGCTGCTTCTGCTGCTGTTGCTGCTGCTGCCGTTGCTGCAACGGGGAGTTCCTCTACATCTAAATACTGCAGCCTCTGGCACCCTATATGTATGTTTAGGGTTTAGGGTTTAGGGTTTAGGGTTTAGAGTTCAGAGTTCTGCATAGTAGTTAAGGGTTGGTTGTTTATAGTTGCGAATTTAGGGTTAAGGGTTTATGATTTAGGGTTTAGGGTTTAGGGTTTATGTTTTTATAGGTGGGACGCAGACAGGTTGGCATCGACGCTGTGCATCTAAACCCTAAACCCTAAACCCTAAACCCTAAATACTAAATACTAAACTACAGCTGGCACACAACTTCTTTATAGTATTTTATACCAATAATGTTCTATAGCAAAAGAATTAGGGTTTGTTGTTTAGGGTTTACGTATGAGGGTTTAGGGTTTAGGGTTTAGGGTTTACCGGACCCTAAACCCTAGCAGGGCTTGCTGTACGGCCGCCTCCGTCTTCGGCTGCAGCAGCGATGAATATATTTTGTCTTTTTATTATAAATAATAAATTAATTTATTTTTTTATTTAAATAAATAATTTTTATTCTTATATCTCATTTTGAGGGTTTAGGGTTTAGGGTTTAGGGTTTAGGGTTTGAGCGGTGGTTGTGGTGGCTGCTGTTCATCGACACAGCAACAGCAACAGCAACAGCAACAGAAACAGCAGCAGCAACAATAACAACAGCAGCAACAGCAACAACAGTAACGACAGCAGCAGCAACAACAGCAGCAACATCGGCAACAGCACCGACAGCAGCAACAGCAGCACCGACAGCAGCAGCAGCAGCACACCGACAGCAGCAACAACAACAACAACAGCAGCAGCACCGACAGCACAAGAAGCAGCAAAAATAGCAGCAGCAACAGCAGCAGCAGCAACAGCAGCAACAGCAGGAGAACGAACACACCTAGCGATGAGTTATAGGAGCAGCAACTGTTGCTGTATTGAATTGATATTTATATATATAATATCCTCTCTTTCTCTCTCTTACCATCCCTTCCCTATCAAGGGTTTAGGGTTTAGGGTTTAGGGTTTAGGGTTTAGGGTTTAGGGTTTAGGGTTTAGGGTTTAGGGTTTTAGAGTTTTAGATGAGGGGTACATTATTTGGTAATTGGGAGATTTTAAAATATTTAAAAAAAGTTCACATTTCTTTTTCTAATAGAAGACCTAAAACTAATCAGAATGCTAGGTTTGTTGCTGCTGCTACAGCTGCTGCTGCTGCTGTTGCTGTTGCTGCTGCTGCTTCTGCTGTTGGTGCTGATTATTATTATGTCTGTTGTATAGTGTTACTAAGGGTGGAGGATATGTAAAGGGTTTAGGGTTTAGGGTTTAGGGTTTATGGTGAATAATGGATATTTCCCTTACGTCTATTCATTCTTTTGCTGCTGCTGCTGCTGTTGCTGCTGCTGCTGCTGTTGCTGCTGCTGCTGCTGCTGCTGCTGCTGCTGCTGCAGATGGTTAGTGTTGCAGCTATCATCAGAGAAAATAAAGAAGAATTATCCTCAATTAAATTTTAGTTGGCAAATTGTTGATTATGATTCTCCTGCATTTATTGAGGCTACTCTCCTTAATGGATATACACATAGGTTAGGGTTTAGGGTTTAGGGTTTAGGGTTTAGGGTTTAGGGTTTAGGGTTTAGGGTTTTGAAGATGTGGGTTGAAAAAAAGAGCACCGTATATGGTGTTGCTGTTGTTTCTCTTCTTATTGTTATTCCTTGTGTTCTTTTTGCTGCTGATGCTGTTCTTGCTGCTGCTGCTGCTGCTGTTGCTTCTTGGGGTGTATAGGCAGCTATTGGAGGGTTACAGCTCAGCGCAGCGGCAGGAGATCATCGATAAATGGAGGTTTAGTGGTGAGGGCTTAGGGTTTAGGGTTTAGGGTTTACGGGTATTACTTGTTGTTGTTGCTGAGCTCGTTGTTTCTTATTTTGCTGCACCTGCTGCTGCTGCTGCTGCTGCTGCTGCTGCTGCTGCTGCTGCTGCTGCTGCTGCTGCTGCACCTCTGTGTTGTATATTTGCTGCAGCAAGCCTAGAGCCATGGGAGGAGGTCTTGGCACCTAAACCCCCACAAGAAGCAGCAGCAGCAGCAGCAGCAGCAAATGAAGCAGCAGAGACGCAGCAAGATGCATCTAAGCAGCAATAGTAGCTGCACGAATTGTTGCTGCTGCAGCCGCTGCTGTTGCGCTGCTGCTGCTGCTGCTGCTGCTGCTGCTGGGTTCGATTTTGTTTGCACGCTTTCTCTTTTTTTTTAAAGATTTAAATTGAGGGTTTAGGGTTTAGGGTTTAGGGTTTAGGGTTTTATTCCTACGAATGCCTCCTTATCCGTACCTTCAGGTGTATAGGCACCTTGAGGTGTATAGGCACCTTGAGGTGTATAGGCACCTTGAGGTGTATAGGCACCTCTATATTTATTAATAAACTTTATTAATAATATATATTTATATATGCGTATATATACATGGATAGCTAGCTAGATACCTATATACCCAACTATATACCTAAATATATAGATGGCTAGCTAGCTAACTGGTTACCTAGCTACCTAGCTACTTAGTTAGTTAACTAGCTAGCTAGCTAGCTAGCTATGTAGCTAGCTAGCTAGACAGCTAGCTAGCTAGCTAGGTATGCACAGCAATGAACCAAAGCACTAAAATATAAGGGCAATTGCTGCTGCTGTGCTTGTTGCTAGTATACCTGTTGTCTGTTGCTGCTGCTGTTGCTGCTGCTGCTGTTGCTGCTGCTGCTGCCGCTGTTTGCTGCTGCATGCATGAAGTTGCATAGCTAATGGCACTTTTTATTGTATTTATTTAGTAAGAGGCATTGAGGTGTACATACACCTAATATATATTATAGGGTTTATGCCTTTAATTCCTTATTAATAAATAAATAATTGGTGCTGCCTATACACCCCAATTGTATTAAACAACAATCTTCCCTTCAGGTGTATAGGCAGCTAACTGTCTTATATGTATGAATATACATATAAGGAAAGGGGTGCCTATACACCCCAAATTGGTGGGCCATCGCCGCTAAAAAGTATTATTATATTAAATATAATTAATATAAATTAATTAAATATAATTTCTTTCCTTTTTTATATTAATTTAGGTGTATATTGAGGTACATAATATATATTGGCTGTTGTGGTGTATAGGCAGATGGCTGCCAAGCAAGGAGCGGCATGCAACACTTTCTTCCTTTTCTTCTTTTTTTCTTCTTTTTTTCTCCTTTTTTTCCTTCTTTTGTATTTTTATTTAATTAAATTAAATAATAAATAAATTATATTTTCTTTTTTTCTTTTTTCTTTTTAATATTTCTTCTTTTTTTCCTTTTTTAATCTCTTGCTAATGCCTGCTGCGGCCCCCAAACCGTCTGCCCGGCTACCCGAGCCCCCGTAAGGAGTAATTTTTATTCTTTTTTTTTAATTTTTTTTCTTTATTTAATTAAATAAATATAAATATAAACAATTAAATAAATAAATTAAAAGAAATAATTTATTTTTCTCTCTATTTCTCCCTCTTACGAGCATCAAGGAGGATAATATTGAATCGGTTTCATCGATCTTTAAGTGACCTTATTTAGGGTTTAGGGTTTAGGGTTTAGGGTTTAGGTTTTGGTCTCTACTAAACAAATAAAATAAGATAATATTCTATTAGATTATATTTTTCTGTATCTAATGATAGGTTAAAGGGTAATTATATATAAATTATTTATATTTTAATAATTAATTCTTTCTTTTTTTTTTTTTTTTTTTTTTTTTTTTTTTTTA